ACTCATCCTGCCCATGGTTCATTTTACCTGAGCTTCTTTGCATGAGGTTTTTTGCTCCAGGTTACCTTCTCCTCCATCCAGCGCCTTCTGCACAATCCAAAAAGTTGGATAACAACTTAGTGGTTCTCTCTCTGTCAAAGCCATTTACATAGAGAGTGAAAAAGTATCGATCTCCAATACCAGTCCCTGTGGTTCTCCAATCATCATCCCCTTCTTCTCCCTTGGCCTGTAACCTTCCCCCATTCTAATCTGTCCTCGATCATCTCACCACCTCCTTTCTCCGTATGAAAATGGGCCCGTCCCTGCTTCACCAGCAGCCGTGTGCATCAGGCTCCTGTGTGACGCTGTGTGAAATGCCCCTGGGAAATCCAGCTTGATTATATACACAATTTCACACCTGTCCACTCTCAGAAAAACCTCTTGAAAACTCCAGCGGATTTGCAGAATAAGAATTACCTTTTATAAAAATCAGCTCACATCTACAGTATATTTTATAACGCTACTTATAACCCATATAAAATTCGAGAAATAAGGGTCTTGAAAGATTAAATTTAAACACCCCAAGGTCAGAAACCAAAAAGTCGAAAATCTGACTTTATCACCTGATCCCCTGCCCTGTTGTGCTTGCATCTAACAGCAGAATTTGGCTTTTGCCAGTCTTTGTTGCACGATACTTTACACAGTGTACAAGGCATCATTAAAAAAAAGTACTTTTTAATTCAGTGCATGACAGATTTCAAGCCCAGGGTTGTAACATAAGATCTCTCAACTGTGATCACTAAAATTTAGTCTAAAATATGCATGCCCAATGGCTGCAGTCCTGACCCCTGCAGTGTACATGCTCAGGACACAACTCATCAGATCTCAAAAGCTAAACAACACTCATGGGAACCTGTGAGAACATCCTAAACTCAAAGTATGTCACTGAAAATATGTCAGTCAGAAAATATGTGGAGAAACCCTGTCTCCTGCAGTGCTGGCTGAAGGGAACTTCTAAAATAGTTCTGCAAAACACAGCACATTGAAATTGCTTCTGGGAACAGGCAGAGTGCAATTAGCTGAATGGTGTGGAAATGGTAGGCAAGGAGCACTTGGTTAACACCTTTGCTAATAATTATGGTGGGCTTGTGTACCAAGCAGTGCTTCTGCTCCATTCCCATGCAGGACTGCCTAAGTCCCCTCATCTCCCCCTTCCCCACATGGAATGGGGCACTGAGCAGGAGTGTTGGGTTCGATGGACTGGAGGATGCATTGCAGACAATGGAGGACTTCTGAAGGGCCTGCTTATACCCACAACTACACCCAAGCAATCAGATAACTTCTGCCTCCGATATGCCTTGCCGATCCTGTCTCACCTGTATGTAGCAGATGAATGCCTCATTATCAGATTCCCCTGCTTGCTTCTCGGTAGACTTAAATTACCATGTTAAACAGGATAATAATAAACACTGGCCTTTAACTACAGTACGTCCTTGTTCACTCAGCATCCTACTTCTAATCTGATAACGGGTATGCAAAAGGCTACAAGGGAAGAGAGAGCTGGTTGTCACATCTGCCTTTACTTGCTTCCTGGAGGGAGATTCCTGCACGAGCAGGCTCAGCCTCATGCTTCATGGGTCCTTGAGCCCTGTAAGAATTAACAGGTATGGAAATGGGGGCAAGGTACAAAAACGATGTCACAGATCCGATCCAAGGCTCTTCTGCTACATCTCAGAGAGCTAAGCAGCCCTGTGCCATCTGCCTGTGTCAGCATTCCAACTCTGAAACAAAAGCAGTGAGAGAAATATTTCCATCTTCTGAGAACAGTGGGGAAGAGGAGAAGCCTTGGTGGTGCTGGATGCTACTTTCACATTGAGCTCACTGCATTAGAGGTGGAGATATGTATTACTGGAGCTCTTTTTAACAACTGGCCTGAAAAAGTTACCTATCCACCCAGAATAAATTATATAAAGGAGGTAAGATGGACTGGGAGCAGAGACAGCTGATCTGCTGAGACTTTCAATCCCCTTAGCCCTCAGAAGCTGAAAGTGCCATTTAATTCAGTGCTACAGGATTTCCTGAACAATTATTTTATTCTGTATGTGTGTGAATAGTGTTTGCCTAATCCCCTGGATTTCTCTTGTTGCAGAAAGAGGAAGAAGTCTTACAAAACAACAGGGGATAAACATATGAAGTCAAGTTACTTCGCTGAGCTCTTTCGCGCGTCTGAAAAGAACCAGAGGGCTGCAAACTCTGGACAGTACGAGGAGTCTCCTACTTAAGGAGGATATTCCAGCTATCACCAACTGAAATGCAGCCATTCCTGTGGTATAAGACCAAGTTAACAAAGCTGCACAGAAGCGGCATTTCTGTGGAAGTAATATGTTTTTTCTCTATTTTTCCCAATTCCATCAAACTTGGCTTTCCATTTCTCTTCCTTCAGCTTCAGCTTTTCAGAGCTGGCAAGGAATACAAGAAGTAGGAAAGCAACGAATTAGGCCGTCTGTCGTTTGAGGGTATGAAAGGCAGTCTTAATAACAGCAGGAGAGAGAGCAGCAGCCGATGGTTATTTTTGACAGAACTGGGAGACACTCGGATTGCTGCTTCATAAACAGCTCATCAGAGGAAAAGTCTGTGCAAATGGCAGAAGCCCCTTCAGCCACACTAACAACACAAAGCCCTCATTTGGTATGAGAAAAATCTTTCAAAAATCAAAATTTTTTTCTTTCTTCAAAGAAAAGAGCCAAGCCCAACCCCAAATGTGTAGCAGCACTAACTTGCATTTTCATCACAGCAATTCATGCTATTAAATACCAATTACATGGCACAGGCAAAGCATTTCTCATGCACTGTGATGAGAACAAGACTATCAGATATTTTTCAGATTAATTTTTTTTTTCTTGTAACAGATTCTTAATCTCTCACGCAGAATCCTTTGTGCTTCTGGATTACGAAAATAAAGATCATTCTTGGTCAAAAGATACCCACATGAAACTCAAGAGGTTTCTATATCTGGCAGCTTCACTGGCAGCCTCAGCCAGGAGGAAGCACGGAGATAGGCTGCTCCACAGCTTCCAAGGGAAAAGCTGACCACCGGAGGACCTCACTGCTGTGTCAGGGAAATATAAGTCTGAAGCTTGTTCTGTTTTTTGGGGGGGATTAATTTCATTTACTCTTAAAACACTAATGCTTGAAGGGACATAAAAGCATCATGTCTGAGAGGCTGAGAAGAATCTTAGCAAAACAACAATAACAAAACGCTATTCATGAATACAGGGACTACAAGGCTTCATAATTAGTCTACAATGATTTGCATGACCTGTGCTTAATCCTTATGTGTTCCAGATGCCTGATGGACAGGTATGTATAATGGAAAACACTACAAAAATGGGAATAATTGACTTTCCTTTGTCTAACCACAATATCATTCTCACCTCATTTACTGCTTTAGTGGGAAGGCATTTCTGTAGCCCAGGAATCAGCTCTTCCTAAAATGGCCAAGTCTCAAAGTTCAGTATTTTAGTGGTTTAAACTAAGTAGGAGTTGCTCATCCATAGCAGCCTGGACTGCTGAAAATCCAGCTGCCTGACCTCTTAATGCTGTCTTCTATCCAGTGTTACAAGGAAAAGATACTTGGTGAGGGCACTGGGCTAACAGAGCAGGGGGCTGCACGCTCAGTTGCATCACTTCTAGGGAACAGAGGGAGGTGGAAGCAGAACAGAAACACTGCAATAACAAATACCTTCTGCAGTACTGGTGGAAGACAGCAATCTAGTACAGGATTTGATAAGCAGCAGGGTACCCCTATGAGCCCTTTACCTGATGTCACCATGATTCTGAGACAAAATACCTGTTCTTTTAACCAGAAACAACATATCAAAAGATATCACTCAAAGCACAATTTAAGACTGCTTAAATTGGGACAGCAAAGAGGAGGAAATGCTGAGCCGGGGCAGAGCTGCGCACAAAGCATGGGAGCACCCGGAGTTGTGCTGTGTGCTGCACGTGACAGCCATCACCTCTCACTGAACTGGAAATCTCGAGGGTGCTGCTTTGTACCGTTAGCTAGCTGCTAGCCCATAGAATCACTCTGCGAGATTTCCCCATAAAGGATTTTAAATGCAGTGCTGGGAGAGGACTAAGAACGAGTAACTATCGAATCATTTCACAACCAAGCACAAATGCCTCTGAGTGGTGCCAATTATTTGCAATGCCAGCAACAATTTAATATATGAAACTCGACAATCTCAAACTGTAAGTGAAAATACACAGAGAAAAAAACACATTCTGTGAGACAAAATATTCACTTTAAGGCTACACATATGACTATGTTATAATTATATAATACACAGAATTGTCACGTGCCTAAATATGCATAGGCATACAGCTAAAGAAAGCAATACAGTTAAGGACAAATGCTTTGCATGTGGCAGAAAAATTGCAGAAAGAAAAAAAACATCCTTTTCTATTAGAAAAATACCGTTGCCAAAAATCAATCCTTTAGCATGACCACAAAAATAGGAAATCAGATTTTTGAGAAAGGCCAGGGCAGTTCTATTTTTTAATTGCTATTGCCTCTGGAGCAATGATGTAGCAAGAGCCCACTGCTATTCTTTCCCTCCTTCTGTATCCTGAAAATCATTCCCACCTGGGGCGCAAAGAGAGGAAACAAAAGGAAGTAGAAAATTATATTTTTCATGAGCTAATCCTGGGAAAGTGACCGCTCAGGTTTCCATGTCTCTTGGCAATAATAATTTAAACAAGGATGGCAATCTTTTGTTATTTTTTGCACAGTTGGAATGCTCGCTTCCAGATAACAGACATTTAAACTGCAATTTAAGAAGAAGAGGAAGAGAGCAATCGATAGGTATTCTGGAGTTCTCTCCTCTTAGGAATGCTGCATAGCTCAACACAGTATGCTTCAAAACAGACAGCCCAGATGCAAGCCTCTTTGGAAATTCTAAAGGCAAGCAAGATCACTGAAAAAATCCCTGAAAGCAAACAGAGTACAACTACTGTACCTTTACTTTGGGGAGGGTTCTGACTTCTGTCTCGGAGAACATTAATCTGGTAGACAGCTCCGTAAGGCTCAAAAAGTTCTTTTAACTCTTTTTCCGACCATGAACGGGGAATCTGTCCAACAAACATCTTAATGGCATCTGGGTCTGGTTGGTCTGAATGATCCAAAGCTCCATTCATCTTGTTAGCTGTGCCGTTACTAGAAAGTGGAAGAAGAGATGAAAAAGAAAAGGCAAGTTAGGAGACTACGCAGTTTTCTTGTGCACTAGATGCAAAAGATGATGTCAATTGGCACAGAGCAGGAAAAAAAATCGGTATTTAATTAATAGCATAAGTATTATGTACAAAAAACAATGAGATTACATTTTTCATTGAGTCTGGTTTTCTCTGCAGGCTGCTGCTTAATGTCATTATATAAGAAGAGAGCTGCACCACGCAAGCCAGTACTTTTGCATTTTAAAGCAGAGGAGTGTGGCAAGTAAGTACAGATTTCTCTCCATAGCCGTTGTAAACAGAACTGCTGCGAATTCTCACTGAACTGGCTACTGGCAGAAATAAGGCAGTGCTGGGGTGTGCGTGTGTGTGTGTGTGTGGTTTGTAATAAAGTCACATGAAAGGAATATGAAACACTTGGCAATCTGTCAGATGACTAATGCAAGATGCCAGCGATGAATTTGCAGATTGTGTGAAGCATCCATGTGTGCATCAAATTAGTATGATATTGCCTAGAATGGAAAACACTCCAGCTATGCGGCTGGTTGCTGCCGATTAGTTGCCTACGCTCTTTAAAAAGGAAAAGCAGTCTGGAAAGTGCCAGTTTAAAGCACATTGTTTATGGCAGCCTGGCACACAAAAATGCACCATTCAAAAGGAGAAAGCAGTGGTAAAATTGCTTGGAAAATTAAAATGCTGCTTCAGAAAGTTTTTCTCCATGCAGAGGACATGAAGCGTTTGAAATTTTTCACACCCTGTAAATTGTTCCCCTATCTGATCTCCAGATGTACAGCTAACTTCAAAACAGCTACACACTTCTGCTGGGGAAAAGAACTTAGCAACCAAAAAAAATTCCCTGTTCTCTGAGACATGTGACATATTACGATTTAGGAGGAGTACATCCTTGTAAAGAAAACAAAGAATTTTAAATTCTAAATGAAGGTAAAAATAAACCCCCCAACTCTTCTGCTTCTATTGATAATCAAGGATGATAATTTCAATTTGGCTAGAGATTCTGTAAGTGATAGGAGATTTGGATGCTTGAATTTCAAGGAGGAACACCAATGAGATGTGACTTTCAGTGCACTCCTCCCATCCTCCCACTGGGGGTAGTGATGAGAAGCCACGCATTCAGCAGTGCTGAGAGGTGATCATCCTAACCTTCACGCATCTCAGAGCCACCTGCCACTACTGAAAAACTTGGCTTCAATTACACGTTCTCCATTTGACAGTTGTTCAAAAGAAAATGACCACAGGAAGGCTTGGAAGAGCCTGAGATCTGTACAACCATACCAAAATCATTTCATGTGTGAAAAAAGAAAAGCCAAGAAGGGCAAGGAAGAAACAGCATTGTGTCATACCCCTGCATCACAGCTGGAACACATGCCAGGACAAATTTTAATCCTCTGTGCTCCATCTCCCTGGAAGCGCAAGGCACCTGAACATATTAATATGCCCCTAGCAATTTCTGCACTTGCCCTGCTTACTGCAGGAAGGAAAAACTATATTAAAGGTAGACTGTAAACCAACAAGAAGAAGCTGCATTGTCACTTGTGAAGTGCTTTTAACACGGATCAGCAGGCAATGGGATTTATCACACTCATTTATTGGACAAAATTCCCACTGATCCTAGTGGGAGTCTTGCCTGAATAACGGACTGAAGGATTTGGCCCAGCCTTCTCTATCGTGTTTCATGCACAAATGCCCTCTCTTGTTTTACAGATGCTCTTTGAGGCTTCTCTGCAGGTCCCAAGAACACCAATGCAGCCATTGTGATTTCTCCATTAGAAGCTGTGTTTTCTACATAGACCTGATATGAGACACCTCCATTGATACCTTAAACAATCCCCACCTCAGACTCTAGGAAACAAAAAACTCCTGACTCTTTCTAATGATACACACTGGGAGCAACTTTCAAGGCTGCCATGGAGTGCTGAGCACCCACACGACATGCAGAGCTCTGGAAAAATACATTCTGCTGTTTCTTCAGATTTCCTGTTTGTCTATGCAATGCTTAAAACAACCTCCCTAGTAGGAAGAGGAAGATACTCCCACACTATTTTGTACCTGCAAAGACAAGAAAAGGCAGCAACTGTGTCCTGCAGCTTTGTGCTGTGCTCAGGTGACTGTTCCTTCAAAAATCTGCTTCACTTTTCACTTCATTTGTTCTTTGCTTTGTTTACACTAAAAAATGAGTTGAGTTCCTTTTTAAATTATGCCCTTCATCCATTCTCTCTGTTGGATCTCTTCTTTAAGAAATCCACACGTAATTACTGTGTTAGCCCCAAATTACAGCAGAGGTCGTATTTAATAAAGGATAAATTTATTCCTTTGCTTTTTCCTTTACCCAAACCACCTTTACCACTGAGAGCCCTACTACAATTTCCATTGCTAACAAGACAATTTTGAGGAAACCACAAAACCTAACACTTCTAACTGTTTATTCAGGTTAATTGCTCCATTACCATCAAGTTCCTGCTTTCAGCTAAAGGTGCAGGCACAGGCGAAGATCTCTTCTAATTCAACACAGTGCTTACACACTTTCTTTACTTTGGCGGGGCCGAAGAGCAATTACACTGATCATATTCCTTAAATGCTTTATTGGATAAAGATGGTTGAACGCTCTGACTGCAGGTGTAGGCTACAGTATGCTGTGTCAAAATGCTCCAGGGGACAGGTTTTGTCACTAGCTGCCTGAATTAACTTGGGCAAGTCATTAAAACTTCTCCGGATTTAATTCCACCATCCTCTGACAGCTCTGCCAGTCTGCAAACTGCTGCGGATTTAGGAAAAAAAAAACACAAGCATAATTTCAAGATTTTTCATTATAATTCTTTCCTACCATAGGGTTGGAGTTGTACTCAGCTGCCAACGTTTTGGAAATAGGGACAGGCAAGTTGAGCCTAGAGGGAGGGCAGTAAGCTTTGCCAGCATAGTCAGGCTCCTCATTAAGTTACGTTTGACTTCAGTGCAAATGAATGCTACTGAGGGTTCTGGAAGAACGGTTCCCCAACTCTGCTGGGATTTCAAGGAGGGCATCAGCACTTGCAAAAGCATCCTCATCCACAGTTGACAGTAGGTAGAGGACTACAGCCAACTCGCATGAACTGAACAAGTAGATAAAAGGGAGATAACAATGAAAAAAATCATCCAACAAAATGGAACAGTTTTATACAGTCTATGGATTAAATCCTTTCCGCATACTTGAATCATCCACTGAGGAACGGTAAGTACAAAGCACACCTGACTGAGAGTTCAGCTCTCACTGAGCTTGTTCAGGTGAATGCAAAATCCAGTCACACATTTTTGACCCCCTCACAAACTCACTGCTAGAGATGAGCTCCCTTGTTCTCTCCCAGTCTCCACCTTCACCATTCTGGCAGGAACTGCTCTGGACAAAGACCCTGTAGTGGCCAACAGCCGTATAGTTTTTGGTCACTTTTCCCTGCCACACTCACTCCCAGAGGCAGCAGTTCCTTCCTGCCCCCATCTTCCTCACCCACTTTACCCAGGAAGAAGAATCACAGAACCATAGAGTATTCCACAGAATATCCCAATATCCCATGAGCCTTCCCCTCAGTCTCCTTCTGAGGCCAAATAAACCAAGGGACTGCAACTACACATCATATGCCTTGTCCTCTAGGCCCTTCACCATCTCCATAGCCCTCCTTTGGACACTGTTTAATAACAACACAAAAAAGAAATCACGCATTAAAGTCTTCAAGAGATTTCAAGCAATTTTTGTGAAAGCTTAGGACCATTTCTTGCGAACATGAGTGTAGAGATAGCTGTGGCTAGGAGATACTACTAAGAAGAGAATCCCTTGACAATTACTGTCAGTATCCAAATGATGACATACATAAAGAAAGAGAAAAATTAGATTATGTGGCTTGCTGTCTCTACACTGCAGCAACCCTTCCCTCTGCGGCCAATTTAGCCCATTGGACTCTGGGATGACCCAGCACATCATCTTTGCTGACAAGGTGTCATCTGTATCGGAGAGAACAGCCTGAGGGCAGAGATTAAGCCACCGAGTTGCTGGCTGCTTGTGGTCGCTGCCAGAGCATCGTCTCTCTCAATTTGTGCCAATTTTCTTTCTAATAACCTAACTACCATTCCATCATTTCAGCAAGTTGACAGGGCCACTCTTTGAGGAGCTAGAGATTGTTTTAATATCACTGCTGCTTAAGCAGGGGCACTGGCAAAACCCACTAGATGCCTTCTCTGCCTCTCCCATTCATATCTGTCATTATGGCAAGACTGCTAAAGTGCACTGACTGCTAAGGAGGGCAGTCTTAAGGAACAAAATCTGAATCAAAAGGAACCCTCTTAAATTCATCACTGTCAATATATTTAGCATTAATCCCTGCACACTTCCATTCCTGAACAAGATGCCAAGCTAGGTGCTGAAAACCTGTTGTTATGGGGACTGAATAGGTTTGCGTGAAAGCTGTGTTTTAAATCCATTTTCAGTCCTAGTCAAATTGTTTCAGTTTCTCTTGCATTCCTCACCCTACTTTGGTTGCTTTGCTGTTTTGTTGGAGATTTTCCCTTTCCAACTTAACAGTAAAGGACCAAACAACATCCCTTGGAAGAACATTTAACTCCTAAGCATCAAAAGACAAGAAAAGCATGATGACAGAGAAGCTGGAAGTGTAAAGATTACTAAATCCAGCCTGGCACAAAGACATTTGCAGGCATCAAGGTTTTACAGTACCAAATATTTACATTTGAGCTGTGTGATCACTGTCAGGATATGGGATGAGCACCAAAGGGACACCATCACTTTGAAGGACTTCAACTGCTGGCAGAAGAGATGAAAAACCATCACCGTACCATGCTTGAAAATCCAAACTGCTGGATTATGAGCAAATTTTATCTGGAAGGACTCAAAAGGGCTTTATAAGCTCATTGTTTAGAGAGGAATGACTTCATTGTAAGGTGACAGACGGCAGCTGTTTAATGACATGGAGCATTATCGCACAA